AGCTACAGTATAGGCAGGATAGGCAGCTACTTAGGGCTCCGGAATTACCTGAGCTGTGGAGGAAGTGAAATAATCATGGATTTTATCACCATTTCATATATATATATCAGTGTTTCCCAATCTGATCCTCGGCGACCCACAGACTGTCCACGTTTTTGCTCCCTCTCAGCTCCCACATTTCTGCTACCTACTGGGAGCTCGGAGGGAGCAAAAAACGTGGACAGTCTGTGGGTCCCCGAGTATCAGATTGGGAAATACTAATATATATCTACACACATATTGCAAAGTTATAGTAGTGTTGTAATTAAGTTATCACGAGGCGTAGGCAGTGTAACAACATACAGTACAACACAAATGAAGACAGGATAGATAAGATAGAAAACATTCGGTGCAGAAGGTTAGGAATCATGAAGGCCCATTCAATAATCCCGCAGCTCTAGGAAAGATGCCACTCTAGACGGCAGAATCTGGAGTAAATACACGAAGGTCATATTGGCTGATGTTTAAAGTGTGGCGTGTTCGTTAGGGTGGCTGGACTGATTGTGCTGTGTTTGGTAGCAGCCTGATCATCAGAAACAGCCCGATTGCTCCTGTAGATTCATTGTCTGTGAAGTTCTAATCACTGCCCATAGTTACACTAAGGGCTATTAATGTGGCACCACTGGTACCACTGGCTGTGCGCACGGGCATGTGGTCCATGGGGGGGGGGGGGACAGCCACCCACTCATCCACTAAAAATGGGGACGCGCTCCAGCCCTTGGCTCTCTGCGGTCCAGGTCCAAACACAGTTTCCATTATCCTCCCGCCTAGTGTTTCCATCCACATTCAACATTTCAAGATTTTACCACCAGTAAGAAAGTTAATGACACAGGTTACTGATATTAAAAGATCTACAAATTTGAAAGCAAACATTAATTTGGAACTTATTTTTTGAAAAAGTGGGCATTTTTTTTTTACCCTACCAGTATGATTTATGTTTCGGTCAGGCAGTCGACACCTTAATGGTGGGAGGTGGAAGACTGCCGGCTCCCTGGCCGTGGGATCAGAGCAAAACACTCTGCTGATGATTAGTAACGAGCAGGAATTACCAGATAGACACACGCTCACACTCAACCAGGCGCATAGAACCTCACACATACTCCTCGTTTCCTCTATGACGTTTCACATTCGTCGAGATCCAGCCTGCTTGCCTTTTTTGAACCTATTTGTGTGAAAAGACACAGAGGACATGGCTAATTTTGACCAGCTATCTTTAGAGAAATCATATACTTACAAATAATGTTTTGCACCTTTAATGAAATGGAAAGCTTGTGTATAAATACTGACCATCACTGTGACACTGAACGAAGGTTGCCTCTGAAATCCACGTCTTGGCTCCGTCTGGTTAGCCTGGTATGTGTGCTTAATAAAAACTACCAAAAAAACCCATAATTTTATTATGTGAGTTAGGGTGCGTAAAGACAGATGTTTTACATGTACAAATATGAAACTAAACTTCTGAGAAAACTTTTGAGAATGATAAATTCTGTCAAAGAAAGAAAGTGAAAGAACCTCTTTTACAAAAAAATGTATTAGAAAAAAACATTCCTTAGTATTTATATTTGTGGACGAATGTTCTGAAAGATGATTGCCCAGCTGGAATGAACATAGCTGTCTGCTTTGCTTTCCCTGCATAACGTCCCTAAAAACTTTACGTTTGTACCATGAAAGGTGAAAATTTAGTGACAGGATGTTGTATCTTAGTATAAGTTCACTTTAGGTTGAAGACTAGGTAGACTGCATTCTCAAATGCATTCCCTGTGATGGGTCTCAGCTCTTCATTGAGATCACTTATGTTGCCTGTGAATTTAATGAACATCCTGTGTTGTTTTCCAGAATTAGTAGAGGAATTTACACATTTATTTCATTTTAGCAGATGCTTTTGTCCGAAGCAGTGTACTATTGAGAAGGCAGGATAAGATCACTCTGCTTCCCCCGGGATTTAAACCAACAACCTTCTGATCATGGACACTATTATTCATTCATTTTCTTTACTGCTTGTCTGTTTCTGGGTCACGGGGTTCTGAAGTTCGATTCAACAAGTCTTGATTAATAAAATAAATTATCCATCAATCTTATAGCTACTAACACTAATTATTGGTGGACTCTACCCCGGGTAGGACTAGGCATGTAGACCCACACCACACTGGCAATTTAGAGGCACAAGTTAGGCTTAACTACAGGCAGATTCACACAGAGTCACCTGGTACCAACCGAGCCACCCTGAAATGAACATTTCTGTTTTTTTTAACAGAGTTAGCATAGCCAAATCGTTATTTGCATCAATTCGTTTGTTTTGATCAAAGGCAAATGAGTCAGTTACAGTGCTCACAGAGCCCCGGCTTGGGACATTTGCATAATTCTGTAAAAATGTTGCAAATTTATTGGTTCATAACAAAAGTCCATTTACAAGTAATGTTTATCATATCTGAACATTCCCTACACACAGACATTTCCTTTTTATTGCGTGCCATAATTTTTTTTGACTGACTCATTTAGTTCTATTCTTGCGATTTTGCTATTAAATGCAATTGTAGTCACTGACTCCCAAAGGGATACTAAACACAAACGTTTGGCGTTTTATGTTATTGCAAAGGTGTTACTAATTAAGAAGCACCCAGTGAGACTGCTTGGCAATGAATTTTTTATAGAACTATGGTTGTGTTCCATTTGTTCACTCACTCACTCAATCAAGAAATCACTTACCATTCACTCATATATAGGCCTATATATAGTGTTTAGTACATAGAAGACTCACTAGGGGATCAGGGCAGACAGAGGACCCTAAGGAGATGTTATGATGCTACATAATTATGTTCAGGATATTCAGTATTGTGAACCTTTGAAACACATCTTATAATTTGGGTTTCAATGTATTCCTACTTAAAATGGATGTTTTACTTGAAATTACTGGTTGTTTCTGATGTGTCATGTTTTTTTGTAAACAAACGAATTAAGTAATGATTTTTGTTATAAAACCAAAAAATTGCAATATTTTTACTGAACGAGGCAAACATCGTAAAACTTTCTGTCAGCACTGTATGTCTGAAGTGGACTGAAAAGTAGGTTTAGCATGTTGAAAAAATGTACTACAAACATAGAATTACTCCTCTTCAGTCATAATTAATCCACTTCCTGTTTTCTGTCACCCAGAGTATCGCTTAAAAAGTGTTGGAGTCTTTTTTGGTGCTTTTTCTATGCTAAACCTAGGACTGTTTGTACTATTTGTGTAAGTATCTATTCAAGGTCCCAACACTGCACTTGTGGAGAGAGGTGCTTTTTTAGGGGTAATATTCCAGAGTTGTGACTGAATTCTTGGTTTGTCCTTCCTATTATTTTTTCCACTGGTTTAGTGTCTTGGCACTGATCAGGGTGTTCCACCTACATACCACTGGCCAAATGAAAAGGAGAAGGTGATACCCTGAATTTGTTAGATATGTATTTTTAAATCCGAAAGGTAAACAGTGAGAAAAAAAATAATTACAAGCTTACTTCCTCATACCCCAAAAATAACAGCTCAGTCAGTGTTGAACTTCTTTGCATCTCATTATTGCTGTACCCAGAGTTTCTGTGAAGGCTTTCAGAGACGATCTACCTGGCTGGCTGACCCAGAGTGACTGGTGTTACGTTGCCCAATTCCCGTCTTCCTCATTTTGAATTTGAAGACAATTTTGTCAAAAAAGCTTCACAAAAAATGTACTTGGCAATCTGTCAGAAACTATGATAATGCTTTTATTAGAGATTTAATGAAAACAGGTAATCGTCGACTGTCAACAGCAATCGGTTCCAGCTGACTATTTTATACGCAAAAATCTTTAAGTCATTTTGTTTGGTGCTTTTTAACCTTTTCATCAGCATTTTCTTTGCTCATTGCTGCCCAGAGTTGGGACAGAAACTGTCACACGGTCATGATGCCAGAGGCGGCGCGGTCCTGGGCGCATATTTGCGGTCGCGTAACAATCGTAAAGTCGATCAGTTGTAAGTCGCACTGGTCATAAATCGATGACAACCTGTATATAAAAAAATATACTGATCTTCTGGAGTGGAGTTCTAGAATATGCTATGTACTTGACTAAGTTCTGGATTATCACCAAAATGAACACCAATTATAGTTCAGCCACTATTAATGTGATGTTTCCGTCTCAGAGGAATGTGAGGCATGTGATGAGTAAACAATGGTTGTCTGAGCAGCCAGTGTGTACCTCTGTGTGAATGCGAGCCTCGCGGCGATTTTCCCACATGCCCCGCCCCCTTTGCTGGGTGGCCAGGTCGGCGTCTGGACCGAGACGAGGCCCCGCCCTCCGGGGGCGGGAGGAGATGTGTGGCCCCATTGTTACACCTGAAGGATAACATGCATCCCCTGACTTGGTGTATTTTCCGTCAGGTGGGAAAAAGGAAGAAGACATAAGTGAGGTGTATTTGGTTGGGGGGGGGGGGGGGGGGGGGGATGGGGATTATAATCCACCGCCAGTCTGTGGTTCTGCAACAGACAGAAACACTTACAGAACTGGTTCTGGATGTGCGATGGGGACTGCGTTGGCGTGTCCCTTCGTGTTTTCCTTGCCTCCAACGTCATTGTTCTGCAGAGTGAATTTTAATTTTCGGTCCATTTTTATTTAGAAAATCGTAACTGTTTTCAGTTAATTCAAGACCTGTTGCTTATATGCCAGTGTGATCGCATGCATCAGACTGAAAGATACAGTATGAAGTGAAAGGACAGGGAGGGGCCGGGAGCAACGGCAGGTTTAAAAATAGGTGGGTGTGGAGTGGGTGTCGGAACAGGCATCCTCAGGTTTGCTTTGGGACTTTGAAGCCCCAGGCAGGGGCTGGGAGGGGGGGCGCCGTGCGGCCACACAGGGTGTGTAAGCGTTTTCTGTAGGATGCTTTGGGGGGGGGGTTTCAGTAGGAATTCTGCTTTGATCCTGGCAAAGGTCAACAGAATCCGTGCGGGATTCCCACAGGATCGCCCTGTCCCGAGGTCTCTGACTCCGGCCCCCGCTGCCTCTGACACCCCACCCCCTGGAAGAGCACCCTCCACCAGTATACAGTCCGTGTTTGGAGACACGCCAGTGGCTGTGTGAGTTTTTCCTTCCGTGTGTAAATATATGTCCACATGTGCTCCCATGTTTGAATGACTTTGACAGCACAGCTCACCAACCGGATTACAATGGATCCTAACGTGCACGTGTCGCATGTCGGGATCAGGCCATTATCCTCCTCACTGATGAGTGTGTTTTCTTGCCTGGATTGCAGAGTTAAAATCTGGTAGGAATGACCCATTTCTTCTGCTATTTTAAGCTGTAGGCCTGTTAAACTGAGTGGGAAGGCAAATCACTGGTGAATGTTTACAGTAAACAGACACAAGAACGAGCAACAGGTGAAACTAATTAACTCAGGGAACTGAACAGGGAAACAGAAACTAACACTGGGGAATAACAGACAGGTAGAAACACAAGCATAAGCACAAAGAATTTAACCAAAACCAAATACAAATCAGAAGACACGGGAACTAGAAAAACTCATACAATGAAACGCTAGGGAACAAAATCTACAAAAACAGAGGAGGTGGGATTTGAACATGACAGAGGGGATCACAGGCATGTTCAATGCGTTGAGCCATGCGGCTGACAGGGAGCAGGGGGAAGACGCAAAGACTGACAACACAAGGGACAGGATGACCAGCGGCCCCTGCTGGCCAAACGGGGAAGTGACACAGAGTGGAACAGGAGCTGACCCTGACACACTGCCTCCTGTACTGTTCTCGACTTACTCCGGTAAAACACCTGCTGGAAACAGCTGGAGATGTGCCAGGTAGGTGAATGATATAATGATGACGATCGATCGATGATTATTTCTGAGGAACCAAAGCATCATGTGTATGATTGCAAAGGTCCTTCTGGGAGGAGTGCCGGGTTCTCAGATTGATTCCACAGAAACGGCGGCAAAGACTTGCCCTTCCCTGTTCGTTATCTTCACTTTGATAAGTCACTTTCATATGCGTCTCCAGCTTATGAGGGAAAAGTCTAGAAATACCTCGGGATGGCAGTTTATTACCGGGTGCACTCGGGCCCTCAGTACCCAGAATCCTCTCTTCAGGCCTCCTTCCTGCTGGTGCTGCCTGACAGTGGTGCGGATGGCACCAAGGGCCCCTTCTGGCTCAGCACACAAACCTGCGACGATAAGGCAACATCGAGTCTGTTTACTGTGAGGAGTGAGGAGGCTAATGGCCTGATCCCGACATGCGACACATGCACGTTAGGATCCATTGTAATCCGGTTGGTGAGCTGTGCTGTCAAAGTCACTCAAAGTCTATGTTACAGTCTGGCTGCCGGAATCCTCCCACCATACCTGTACCCGGACAGCCGGACGCCTCTTGCCGGACTTTTCAGCCTGAACCGTGTGGAAGCAGCCGCCTGACATTGTGTGTATAAGAGTGATTATGGTCCCTGTCCTCATTGTTGCCATCATGTTTTAATGCCTGGAACTGCTGTCTTTCCTGGTGAAATGACAGAGAACGGAACCAGCAGGTCCGACCTCCACGGAGTCACGGGCGTCACAACGGGGCAGGGTAGGTGGACGGCACCCGTGCACCGGCGGATGGGGGTAGACCCCAAGGTGTGCATCACATCTGCCCCAGGCTCCCTCCCCCACCTACGCCATCCAACAGGAAGGTATTTAATGCTCCTGAGCCCTGGTGTAAGGTTGCCATGCGGCAAGGTGATGGTGGCGATATGATCTGTATATCCTGTGCACATGATAGTGAGTGTCGGACTGTTCATGGAGATATGGAGAGCAGGGGATGGTGGGGGGGGGGCAAGATCAGACAGGGCTGCCGATGGGGAAACCACAATGCTGCCATCAAAGGGCCAACGCCCACGCCCCCCATCCATTCCAAAATGCCTCCATCCTGCCAGTCTCTGTCTGCAGGCCGTTATTTATCTGCCAATCAGACTGCCATGTTCCAGGGTTACAGTTGCTAGGCTGTTTCAGTTTTAAAAGCTGTGATCTGATATCAGATAAGGTCGTATCCACCGATGAAATGGCCCCTGCTAGAAGTTGATTCGCCCTCTGAGCACCCTCTCCCTTGTCACTCACCGATTTGAAACATATCATTGGACGATGATAATGTTGACCCCTCCCCACACCTTACAAAAATCCCAGAATGACCGCTGATATTGGTTGAAATTTATGGAATGTAAAGAGTACTTGGCACGCTCTGATTGCTGAGTGCTGTGACCGATTAGTCTCCATTTTGAATAAGCGTTGGTGTGTTAAATCCTTAAAAAGTGATGAATGAGCTGCACTTTAAGTCAAAAATTAGTAATTAAGTTAGAATTATTTCCCCAAGTGCAAAGTGCAACATGCTGCGTCATAACATTACAAAAGAATCATTAACAGTTAGGAAGTGAACATCAGACAAGTAACACAGGCAATTTACCAGGTTCTGTTCACCTTTTCCCCTGGTTATCACCAGCACAGACTGGGCTTCCTCTCACCCTAATCATGGTCGTAAACAGTAATCATTTTATGACGCTCTATGGAAGCTTATGTTACGTTAGTGTCTATTACCATGTTAGCATATAACAAACGGCATTATGCCAACATTGTTATAATGGTGTGTTATGCTAATCATATATACTAGACTGTTAGTGGACTTGATTATTTTATTTGTATTGTTTTATATGTATTTCTATTGTCTTGTCGTACCCTGAAAATGAGTGGTATTGGTGATTCCGGCATCTTCTCCTGCTTGGGTATGATTTTGAACTGAATACCGCAATATTTTATAAGTTCTTTGTTCTGCAGGAATTGCATTTTCTCTTCTAGAAAGATCAAATGTTTCTTTTTATTTTTATTCCCGGCATACATTGCGGTTGTGTCGTTCGTTTTTCCCGCTATTTCCCTTAAACCCGTTAAGGGAAACGAGGGTCTTGTTCTCCACTAGTCAGTGGTGTCTCTGCACAGCCGCTGTGTGATGATCTGTGTGAGCGTACAGATGTGACAGGTTACCGTACGAACCGAACAGCTGGTCCATGCATCGTGGAATTACCCTTCTCGGCTGCACGGGGCCCTACCCAGACTGCGCTGGGGGCTGCCAGGTCGGGGGATTCAACCTGAGAACCCTCAAGGCCAGACGGTGACTCCGAGATCAGTTTGTCTGCGTTACTGTGAACTTTGACCCCGCTTTATGACCAGGTACTGTACTTAAGGGGCTGTTTTCCATCTACCAGTTTTGCATTTTCTGTGCTTAGATAAACTTAAATCGCGTACGTTAATTTGCTGTAGCCACTGGTGGATTTGCAGAGGGTATGCTGAATTACTAAAGATCAGCAAATACTTTGATGCAATAATTTCTGTACGTTTTATTCGTTTTTCGTTAGAAAATGAAACTGACACCGCAAGTTAAAACAACGCAATTCTAGAAAGAGCCTGGGCCTTGCTATCCTTCATCTCAGCCCACCTGTCACTCATGGGGGCTCCAGTGTTTATGTCGTCGAGAAAATGATCAAAAAGAATGTATGTAGAGCTTTTCCAACCATGAGACCGTAAGGTGATCTCTATATATCTCACTGACGCTTCTCGCGTCTCTGCCGACAGCCATGGAGCTTCCGCATCAGCCCACACGACGTAGAGGGGGACTCGTGTCAGGCAGAACCTTCCAGAAGAAGACCGACACTCCCCAGCTGGACATGAATCTGCCTCATTGTACACGCAATCGTGTTAAACTGTGTCCAGAGACTTCATGTCACTAATGTGTGTCTCTTACACACTAAGCTCTGCAAATGCCTCCAAACAGGAGTGTCCATGGATTGATTTTAAAGACACCCACCCCCCCACGCCGCTTAAATTGGGCACGCCAGCCGTCCAACAGTGAATCCCCCCCAGCTGGCCCCTCCCCCCAGTTGTCGTGGCATTAGTCGACTGACAAAAACAACACGTGCAGCCGTTGTCCTGGTAGTGGGGGGGGGG